GGTGAACAAGTGTACATGAAGAACTCTAATAGCTCTAAATTCTAGGAAAAGGGGAGGTTTTACTTAAGTCGAGATCTAGTAAAATCTTATCCTTAAATATAATGTTCTTTATGGACTTGTCATGCGTAGAAATTTAATTAATGGTGAGTTACTTAATAAGGCATGTATTAAACTAGTTTACGAAGTAAATAAACTTGTACTTTCCCGAAATAGTGATTATGAGTGAAGAATGCATTTAAACAGAGGTTTATTTGTTTTAGAAACTATGTTTAATGGAAATAATAATGTCACCACTTCTACGTATATTGATGAATCTCTTGATATGTAGTATGCTAAAATAGGACATGTGAATGTTGACTCATTAAAAATATTCATTAAAATAAATCTACTATCTAATATAGGTAAAAAGAACTTCAACAAATGTGAAGTTTATGTAGAATTCAAGCATGCTAGACATTCCTTTAAGTTTGTCACTAATAGAAGGTGAACTTTTAAAATTAGTTCACACTGATTTAGCGAACTTTAAAAACTCTGAGAATAAGGGAGGAAAACACTTACGTCACATTTGTAGATGATTGTTCCAGATATACAAAGGTTTATCTCCTAAAAACAAAAGATAAACCTGGAAATTACTTTATAACTTATAAAGAATAAATATAAAATCAACTTGATGGAAGAATAATATAGGTTAGATCAAATAGGGGTGGTGAATTCGACTCTAATTTTCTTAAAGATGTATGTGAAAAGAATGAAATAATATACGAATACTCTGCACCTTATTTTCATTAACAAAATGGTGTAGCATAGAAGAAAAATAGAACTTTAAAAGATACAATGAATACTTTATTAATAAGCACAGGGTTGTTTGATAACATGTGGGGTGAAACCATTCTTTCTTCAAATCACATTTTAAATTGTATACCTTATAAGAAATTAGATTGTACCCGATATAAGTTGTGGAAATGGTATCTCTAGTCTACAATACCTGAAAATATAAGGGTGTTTGGCTAAAGTATGATTACCTATTTTTAAGAAAACTATTATTGTCCTAAAATCATTGACGTTGTGTTTACTGGGTATACTACAAATAATGTTGCATATAGATCCATGCATTTGCATGATTTTTCTATTTGTGAATATAGAGATTGTTTTCTTTGAGAATATCTTTCCTCTTAATAAACCTTTAAAGTCCAAAGGTTTAAAAAATAATAATAAAATCCCTTTATATTCCCTGTTTCTTTTGTCTATTTTTAAATTAATAGGGGATTTAATATGAGTTAAATCTTGGCTTATTTGAGTTTAATATAGAAAAACTTACAATTAAATAAACTAGAAAAAGAGTGAACTCTTCAATTCCAAAAAAAAAAAAAAACCTTAGCTTATTTTTCAGTCACCGTTTGAGCATATGTAGTCGTTGCCTGGGTTCTAGTGCCATCATTTTCAATCCAGGATTCCATCATTGCTTATGTGCGGTCAAGTTCCTTACTATCTCCAGATTATATTTTCTACAAAAAACACTAGATTGAGCATGAATAAACACTTCTCCAAACCACAATAAAACGTCATACGATAGTTCATAAAATTCTGAAACTGATCAAGGTGTGTATCTTACCCTTATCTTGTTTGGTTCAATCTTGTGTGTGTCTCCCTTTGTCTCTATTCATTCTGTAGATGATTATATCGGTGTTGTGTTGAAAGCATGAACTTGAGGTTAAGAGAGTTCAAAACGTCAGAACATTCGTTAAAACCTGAAGAATGGCTAAGGATGAGAAGAAAAGATCCATTGAAATCTATTGAATAAGTAATTGCAAAATTAGAAATTGGAGCTATTGTGCTCTGAGGATGCTAAAGCATGATAACTTTGTTCGAGGAAAAACAAACATTCAAGTTTGGGGGTGTGATAACTCTAGTATATATATATATATATATATATATATATATATATATGCAACAACAATATTTTCGAAGGATAATTGTTTGTTTTATCAAGATTTTTTTATAGTTTTTACATGTTATTTATATTTTTGTCACAACAATAGAGTTGGAACAAAATGTAGTAAAGTGCTTTGAGTGGTGCAGAGTTAGGAGATGCCAAAATCAGAGACAAGAAAGGAAAGCAGGAGCAAGCACATATAAGAAGACATTGTGGGCATGAAAGTGGCAAGATTAGAGAATTAGAAGATTCAATAAGAAAAAATGACATACCAAGCGGATGTTACAATGAGATTTAAAAATAGTTGGTGATTAAGCTACAACAACTGAGATCCTAGGCTATATAAAGCAACTTTAGCTTGAAGGCGAAATAACTCTCATCATTTAGAAATCACTTCAAACTCTACCATTTTCCTTCTCCATTCCACCAGATTCACCACCAACTTGGAGCAGCTGCCGCATAGATGGAATCTCCTTGGGAGAGGAAGGATCGGTCGGTGTTCAACTACAATCATCTCCAACTCTCAGAATTTATTCTAAATCTCTTAATTAATTTCGAAGTGTTATCCATTTCTTTCATTTTTTGTTGTTGAGATGATGAACTAATCTCAATCTAGTTATTATAATTGATAAAGATTTTTTTATTCATTTAATATATTGTTTTTCATATTAGTTTCACTTCAATCAAGTGCTTCATACCATCAACATAGGGATATGTTGTACCTAGATTGCATCGATACTTGGGAGCGTTAGAACTGATATGTGAATGTCGTTGGAGTGTTGCAGGAACCCTTCAGAGAGATGTTGTAACATATATGCCCCTAAACATACGCTTGCATATATTTGCCTTGCACAACATAGAGTAGTTTTTTTTATCATCTAAGGCTATAATGATATAGTACCTTAAGATAGCTCATTACTCGGGAGAGAATGATTCATTAGAGCTTAGTTGAACTAAATTGTAGTAGCTTTATTAGATGAGACACGTGATTGAAATCATTATCTTAAGATAGTTTATTTTTATTCAATTCATACCATTGCCTAACTTTGGATTGTTCCTAATTCCATTCACCTTACCATTGCTTTTCAATAGTTGTAGCTAGTAGTTTTAGTTAATTTTCTCCTATTTTACTTAAACGAAACACTTTAATCATTCATATTACTACTTGTGGATCATTTGATACTACTGAACTTTGAGGGATCGACTTATGCATTTTTGCACTATTATTACTTGTAGCGACGCATATACTTGTGTTTTTGTTGTTGCATTTTCAGCCTATCAAGGTTTTTACGTCGTTGTCAGGAATTGTACAAGAATTTTACTCTCATCTCGTGTCACGAGACCAGATGTTTGTTTTCTGTCGTGGCATATCGGTTATGTTCACACCAGAAGCAATCAATGCTTGGTTCGAAGTGGAAAATGTCAAGGGTGAGCATGATGAGTTTCAGAAGGCCGTGATGGGTGATCAGTTTCAATTTATTTTACGCGACATCTTTCATGCTACAGTAAGATAGGATGAGGCTAGTATTATTGTGGATAGTAAGTATTTAAAGCCTATTTTAAATGTGAAGTATCATTTGTTAAAACTAGCTTATGGTCGTACACTCATGGGACAACCTTGTCCTGGGATAGAATTCTATTTTTCAATTTAGTTCTGTGGGGTCATAGCATCAATATTGGCTAGAAAAGTTTTGATGAAATCCATGATTGTGTTGAGCGAAAGACGTGGAACATTTTCTTTCCATCTTTGATTACCGTGTTGTGCCTATAGGATGGAGTATAGAATGAGGTGTTGATGAGTAAAAGTTTAATTACTCCAACCATCATTAGTCATTTGATGAAAGAAAGAAAAAATTAAGAGGTTAAAGGTTGATCTAGAATGATCTACATCCAAGGTCACAGCAAAAGGAAATAGGATTATGGCTATTTTGACATGATTCACTAGTAGACTCACTTGTTTGGAAAGAAAATAAGAATGATTTTGGTCTTACGTTCAACGTCGTGCCAAAGTCATGCAAGGGGTGATGCAGCAAGGTTTGTCCCATACATTACCGGAATTTCCAGTATTTTCAGAGCATTTAAGCTCAGAAGTTAAGGTTGATGATGTTTCGGCTTTTAGTTCCTATAACAAGCAGAATGTACCCTCCGACTCCAAAGTAAGTTTGAGGGAGACGGATGATCTAGATGAGGATGTTATGTTACAGGAGGTGGTTGATGATGTTTTTATGGAAGGTGGTTGAAGATGTTTTAAGGGAGTCGGGGGCACAATACAGAAGGATGCGAAAATCTGTGTTGTGGCCATTGGGATGGTTATGGTAGTCCTCATGATGTCGGAGAGTACTAACGTGCAAGCAGACGAGACCGTTGAGCTAAATCTACTTGAAGTTGCTTCCCCATCCCCAATTACTAAGAGACGAAGGAAGGAGGGTAAGTTTGTCGTTGCAAAGAAAACCCATAACTGAGTCCAAGATTTTTCTTTTAATCCATTGTACTCTTTATTTCTATTATAGTTGTTTAATTTTTTATTTTTTATTACATATTTTTGTTTTTCTTTATTATTTTGCAAATGGGAGCTATTTTTGTTGTTATATTGAGGGCAACGCACCCTTCAAGTTTGGGGGATGCATTGTCGATTATATGTATGCCCTCTCTGTATCAAGTATCTGTATTATTAATATAAGTAGTAGTTTTTAAATTTGCAATTGTAGTTTTCAAAAACTTTAGTGGTGACATCTTTAATGATATTTGATGATGATAAGTAATTTGGGTGTTAGTTATGAAGATATGATGAGTGAACTTAATCAAGAAAGAAGAGGAAATGAAGTTTGAAAAGTGAATTCTTGGGTTAGAAAGTACACAATGACTGGAGCCAGATTCCTGAGATAAGGCAATTGATTCCGAGTATTTCACGAGATATGTTGCAACAACAAACCAACAAGTGAAAGGAAAAATGAAAGGCATTCCACTGCTTAGGAAGCCAAGTACGCATGGGGCATGTATTAATAGATGTTTTCAAGCAGGAACAACGTGACCAAGTTTGAATGTTTAAAAATCAATAACAGTGTTAGAAAATGATAATGAATCTCGATAATGCAAAGTATTTGTCTAGCAAACTTGATTTCTTAAAACAAAATGGCGATCATTGAACATATAAAAGATGCACGTAAAGAAAGTATGGATCACCAATTTCGACATAGCATTCTTAAAGAGGTTTCATTCACCCTTCTGCACCTCTATTAGATGACTCACCATGTTTTTGTTGCTTTATATTGACCATAGAGATAAAGATAGCTCACTTCAATCTTCTTTCTTCTGAGGTCCATACTGACTGCTTTCAGCCTCAGAGATCTCAGCATGATCAACCGCATCACGACCGCTAGCCCTTTGAGATTCGTCTTCTTTCCCGATGTTTTGTACAAGCATCATCATTGCAACAATAAAGACAATTATGTAGACACTTCTGATGCCAATTAGTGAATGGATAAAGTCCATAAATGAAGGCCCTTTAACTGTTTTCCTTTCTGTTCTACCTTCCCTATATCCTTCTAGGAATCGTGAGATTTGAGAACCCTGATTTTCATTATCAAGGCTCTCAACACCAACAACCTTCAATAACAACAAAATCCAGGTCAGAAAATGCCTCTCGTCTTATAATACGAGAAATACACAAGTAACAATATCAAGGAAGAAAGTACCAAGATCAGCAATCGTATTGATTTTCCTGTATGTGATCAATCATAATAGAGAAAAAAGGAGAAATAATCTCCAGCTCTTATTAGCATTCAGACAATTTCAAGGGTTCAAAGATATAGGGATATTGAATTCAAGGATAAAAACAGTGATTAGTGTTTGGAAGTAGAGGAGCCAATGACAAGAAAGACCTTTAAGTAGATAGTTGTTGTACGGACTACGCCCAGCTTCTACATACAAGTTCATACATCTAGGTCCATGTGTGCAAATGCATTTGTCACCTCACTCAAAGAATTGATATTCTTAAGTTTATGAAGTAGAGAGGAAAAACAAGGTCTATTCTCAATACTAAAACTTCATTGTATCATACAATATCATAAAAATGCATGCTACACCCAAGAGTTTTTATATTTTGATTGTTTTTATGCTTTATTTCTCTTGCTTCAATAATTGCCCTCACTTTCATTTACTCTGTCTCACTTACTGACTGACCCCATACTAAATAAAAGTTGGAAAGGTTAAGACATTCAAAGAACTAAAAATACTTCATAAGATACATATCAACTTAGAGTGCTACAAATTTATCCATAGGAAAAGATACTAGTGGCTTAAATGCATGATCTAGTACCAAAAGCATTACTAGATTAAATGGATTTGGTATAAGGTAATTTAATTTTGCTAAGTATAAAAATGACATTTATATCAATAATGAAATATGGCTTGATGGTTAAGGGTTTAAATTAAGTTTACCAAATTCCTAACTTAACAAGATTTAGCATTTTTAATTATAAAAATAAAATAAAAACAAGAATTTTGTATCGCCATATACATGTGATTAATCCACAGATTCACATTCAGTTCTAAAACTTCTCCAAAGTAACTGCTAAAAATGTGGGGGTTTGCGGCACCTAGGTTTAGAAGAGTGGAAATTAAGAAGCCTGAAAAAGAAACTCTAGTATTCTCATGTATGCTATGATGTCTTTTAATGAGTTGTTAACAAGGCCTAGCATTTCTTTGAAGGATTAAAGAACTAGGAAAAACTAGCACGTAAAACATGAACAAGTATACTCAAGGATTTACATAAATCGAACTTATCCAAGTTGAAAATCAAGAAGAGAAGGTTGAAGGGAAGAAAGAAGGCTGCTGCTGTAAGCAAGAGAGGAGGAAGAAGAAAGAAGGGAAAAAGAAATTGGAGAATTTGGTCCAGCAAAAACAGCTTGATCATCTCTCAAGTATGAATGAGAATTTACAACCTAATTAAAAACCAAGTTTAGTGGATCCGATGGAGGTATATTTGCATCTTTACTGTAAAATATATTTTATTAAGAAACTTGGAAATGGGCTACTGTCATATACAATCTATTTATGAAAAGGTATTTGAAATACAAGTACACCCAAAATCATATGCTGAACACCTTGATATCAATATTAACTACTTTGGTTCAAAAACATTGTGAATATTCAAAGGAATGGTAGTATTGGACAAGATTTGACAAAATGAACCAAGTTGAAGGATTAACTTCAGGATTTTTTTTCCTATCAAACATGCATCAGTATCACAATGTTCACACCATCTTGTAGATAGACATGTCACTCATGACCCGTACATGAGAACACAACTCGATCGACCTAAACTAACCTGATTTAAACCTTAAATGCCCCAAACCCAAAATGACCAGAACAAGTAATCTGAAATAACCTGAACTTAAATGAAATATAATCTTTAAAAAAAATATTTTAATAAAATAATACCTATAACATATATTATAAATCTGTTTTAATTTGTCTTGAAAATTGTAATAGTCATTTTGGATTATGATAGAGTATGAGATCATTATGGGGAATGCATAATTTACTCATATTTTAATATTTATTCTATTATCCATATGTATGATTGACCAATGACTATACATTTATAGTTTAAATTATTATATACAAATACAATATAGAATTATATTATTATGACAATTTCCGAAAATATTACTAAATTATATATGTGTGTGTGTGTGTGTGTATACATTGTAGATTAAATGTATAATAATTTATATTACATTTCATGTCAAAATATATTTTTAATTATTATTAAATTTAATTAATTTAATAGGATTAATTTTGATCTAATTTTATTTTAAAATTAAAAAATTGAATCTTAATAATTGAATGAACACACTTAAATACTCTAATCAAAACGAATAACTTGAATTTCGTCCCAAATCTGAAATGACCTAAACCCAAATAACAAGATTGTCAAACTCAAATTATGACTCAAAATGATATGAACATGAAAAAATCTGACCCAAAAAACATCATTGCCAAGCTTGAAACAATCAGAACGCCAAAAAATTTGAACTTGAAATGACCCAAAGAATTGATCCTTAATTAGAACATGAATATACCCAACCCAGATTGACCTGATCTTAAACCACCTCAATCTGCCCAATTGAGAGATCTACCTATAGTTAATGATAGTTAAGAATAAAGATGGGCATGATCAATGATCATATACTGATATAACATGTGTATTGCCATGTTGTACAGATGATAAATTATGCTAAAGATAAGAAAAAACCAACTATCGACCATCATTAGAGGCATTAATGTTGCATTAGAATTAAAGATATAACACTTAAAAATTAATACTTACTGATAAGTACTCCTCATCTCCATTCCAAACAATCATTTTCGGAAGCTTTGTCTTCTCGTTGGCCTCAAATTTATCAGCAAAGTCTTCCCATTGCTTAACCCCTACGTAACTAAATACCAAATCACGGTTTGCAGAAGCAGCAGCCCTCAATAACTTGATCAAGTTCTGCGATTGGTCTTCATTCTCATCAGCTGTGATTGTTAGAACAATTTTCCTCTCATCGTCTTTCAAAAGCTTCAATGTCTCATGGTTCAACGGCACCACCAAAGGAAGCAAATTTTGTTTAATAAAATCCCCCAAAAATGTATCTGACATGATTAGAGCTGAAAGGTAAGATTACTTCTCCTCTATGCAGTCAGAGAAAAAAAATATAGATGATGAGCAAATGAAAATAAGAGTATGATGCCACTATCTGGGCATGACTTGACAAATTAAAGTTAACGAAGTATGAGGCTATTATTTACATAGCTAACCACCGTTCCTGGTAAGGTTGTTATAAAACCGGTTGTTATAAAACCATGAAAGAGTAACCATTTCACACGGTGCACATCTATTCTTTGTTTACTTCTGATGATTGAAGTTCTTTATTTTATGATTTTTAATTTTGCTCACTGATTATACCTTTAATAGAGAAAAAAGGGGAGGGGGCGGGAATGAACTCCTCGACTTTTTAGTATCCAACATCAAACAAGAGACCATAAGAGAAACATGCATATTGGTCAACAAAAGAGGGAAAAATTCCTGTTTTGTAAGATTAAATTATACCACACTTTAAAGTTCCATCATTCGAACTCATTTTTAAGCCTTAATTCTTTTGTTTCACTGTCCCCCCCCCCCCTTTAAACTACATCAAAATTTGGTAACCAGAGCCTGCCTTTTTAGATACTAGTGTTTAAAGTAAGATTTACTTTTAAGCCACAGTTTGATGATCAATGAGGGACTTAGCCATACAATTTTGGTAAGTTTCGAAAGTGAAGGTGGAAAACAGAAAATACAAAGATGCTCATGTAATATCTAGCATATATGGAAGAGCTAATCGCAGAGGAATGGTCTTGCGGGGCAAAAGGCCGTGGAATCTAATCCTTTTTAAGGAAACATTTGGCAAAGTGAAGACTGTTAGAATCAATAACTCAAGCAGCTTTGATAAATTTTTGCAAATTCAGTATGTTGCTACTGTTGATTAAGGGTTCATATGATGTTGGATGAATTAAATATGCTGCTGCTGTGATGAAGGGCCCATATGAAGATGCTGAAGTTTCAGACCAGGCACAGGAATTTTCCAAGGCTAAAACAGAAGTGTCTAAAGATGTCTTGGATGTTAAAGAAGCTAGGTCTGCAAAGGGTAATCAACAAAGGAGATTTTTCGTGGAATGGTTTGGCAAAAGGGCTAGTAGAAGTTGGATTGTGGAAAACGAGCTACAAAGAGCTAATCAAGAAATTTATGCTGAAATGGAGACCAATTATTTATTTTAGTTTTATTCTAATTTATTAATTGTTAGATATAAGTTATTTTTAAGGTTTAATCTAGGGCTAAGATTATTATTTATATTTAGGATTTAAATCTAGGGCTGGGATTTAAAGTTTATTTATAAACCTAGCATAAATAAGTTGTAAAATATTTACAGCCATATTGTTATTATTATTTCCTTTGCATTAAAGAAGGTTTTTATAACCCTAAGTAATTTTTTTGAGTTCCATCTTCTACTGGAAACAGCCTTATTTCTTTTGGTTCACTGTTCTTTTTCTCTCAAACTGCATCACTCTCTCTCACGGAAACAGTCTTTTTCTTCACTATTTTCCTCTTTCTTTCCTCCAAACTTCTAAATTCCTCTTGATGAACTTTCAAAGTCCTCTAAGTTTACATGGTATCAAAACAAGGTAACTCTTACCAGCCATCCTATCAGAAATCCAATCCCCAATCGAGTCATCCGGCCAAACCCCATCCCCGGAAGCTGGGTGTGTATAGGTTTAATGTAATCTTTAGTGAACTTATTTCTTAAATTTTATTTGGGTCAGACCCTTCTCCACATCAACATGCCCATACAAAAATGTGACAAAGTACAAGCCAGTGAAAGAACACAAGTATCCTAATCTAATATTCCATACAAGTTCCTTCTTCCTATGAATATAATTGCCCTTTAGTCTACATTTTCTTATAGGAGCTAGCATGGAACAGAACATAATTTTTTGCCACAGTAGCTTTTATTTCCATGACTCACTCCACGGTTATCACCATCAGTACATGTCATAGTTATGATATCAAATTGCCCTCCCCATTTTGGTAAAATCATATCTAATTGTAGATCACTCCATTTAGGTATTTCTGACTGTTCAAATTACATGATATAGGACCAGGTAACTCCACTAAATCCTTCAGCAACTTGTTTTCTCACCTAAGTGTTCCTAATTCTTATTCAGGAAATACCAATTTAAGTTGTATGTTTAGATATTTATTAACCAATACAATTTTGTATTTAAATAATATTGTATAAAACCCCAAAATGATGAACTAGAACACGATTACTTCAGCAAATGCACCAGGGAAGAAAAATCACTGTGATCAAAATTACAAGAACTGATATGCAAAAGCACAAAGAAAATGGCTAAAGCGGTAGCTAATGACAAGGTGCATTAACCATGATAAAGGTTAAGAGACAAAGCATGATATCTACAAGAAAACTGAAATGTGATAATAATAATCTAAACTAACCTTCAAATGGACCATAAAAAACGCTTTGTTGCTTATAACTTGGATGAAGAGCTACCAAAGAAGGAACTTTGTCAAAGTCGTACAACACCATGCCATCCTCTGAGAAATCCTTTGCCACAGAAAACCATGCCTTTTTCTTGTACTTAACGGCTAAATTAGATATCACTGTCTCATTCAAGCCAAAACCTATGTATATAGGAAAGAAAGTCCCAGCTGCTTCAACAAAATCATTGATGGCAGGGTCAGAACTAAGGATAGACACATCAGGAGCAACAAATTTCTTCAGATATTGAACAAGTAAGTCTGCTTTCCTTGGTCCATGATATTCCATAGAAACTCCATGCATAAAGAACTTTAGGGTAGGATATCCACTGCAAAATTGAATTCAGATTATAATAAATACAAATGTCAAAGATGAAAATGGTCTAGCCGAAGAGGTATGCTTTAAATATTGAAATGGATCATTCATGTTCTATTTCTATGATCATGTATAAAAGGCATTGATTAAATGTATTTCATAAAATCAAAGCAAATTTATAAACTGAATAACATACTACTGTTTACAAAGGGTGTTCAATGCAAGTCTATTCATTATCCCCAAAACAAAAAATCGCTGAAATATTTTCTAATATTTCATTTGGATTGCCAGCAAGATAATATTTCTACAAACTGAATGCAATAATTTAGAAGTATGGGAAACTTTATTTCAAATTGGTGATATACAACAAAAGCAGTAGACGCTTACTCAATATCATATGTACTAGCAAGACGGGTATACTTGTCAGCATTAACTTTAGCTATCACTATTGGCTCCTTCAAGCCAGCAAGAATAGGAGCTGCCTCGTCTAACTGCAATGAAAATAAAAGGAGAATGGGTAATTTTAAGTCATTGGACATTCACAGACAATGGAAGCGAAACCACTAATTTGATTAAGATCAAACTGATTGCACTAAAGTTAAAAAAAAGTGTCTAAAAATTATGTATGAAGATAGGGTTTTCAAAGATTGGATAAAGAATATAAAACCCGGGGGGAAAGGCGTTTGCAGTGACCGCACCAAGGGGCATAAAAGTCGACGAGGATGTAATCGAATGAGGAAATAGCGGAGTCAAAGTTGGATTCATCCAACTCCAACACCTTCCCATCTGCCTTTAACTCACTCGCTGTCGATCGAATTCCTGCTTTCAAGATCGAGAACAGCAGCAATAAGATTATGGACAAACGCATGTTTGGAATCGGAGATGCTCTTCCTTCTCTTTTCTTCTCTCTTTTTTTCCCCAGTTTCTTTAAGAAATAAGCGTTTGCGGGGGACTAAACAATTATTATCATTATTTGGTAAAATAACGAGCATTATCTAATAATTGTTTAATTAGTTTGGATAAATAAAAGATAATATATGTTTAAATATAATTCATATCTTAACTTAACTTTTTTTAGTGCACGAATCTGATACATTAAAAAATAACAATTATTTATTTATCAATGAGTAAATTATATAATGGAAATATATGAAATATTCTTAATGATATTATTAGTTTAAATATTAAAAATTTATAAAAATAATATTATAGTTTATAAATATTAAAAATTTATAATTAATATTATAAACATAATAAAAAATTAAAACATAACATTTTATCTACTTTTAATATTAAAGATATAATAAATTTTAATATTATATATATATATTTATATGTATAGATATTATATAAGTGTCTAATATATATATTTTAGTGTATATATAAAGAATTAGTTATTATTTAAAACAAAATAAAAATATGATTATTAAAATAAATATTTAATGTGAGAAAAACTATTTTGGAAAAAAATCACGGGAAAAAATTACTATGTCGAAAAAGAGTACAAGAAAATTTGTGTATAAGCACAATTTAAGATTTAATCAACTTACTTATAAATCCTAAACCTTAAACATTTAGTATCTATTTATAGATATATGTTTCTTGTTTACATAGGAAACTTACATAAAAATAAATCTACTCAAACTGAGTTTCTTATTCTTCATCCACTTGCCACTATAGATCCTCATTTTAACCTCTATTTTAAATGAGTTTCTTCTTAACCATCACAGGTCTGATAAAAAAGTTGAGTCACAAAACTCTATCATTCTTCACCTTGACACAAATTTACGTCCAACTAGTTCTCGACCTCTATGAAATCCCTTCAAATGGATATTCTTCAACAATGAATATCGACCAAGTCCAAACAATGCTCAAAATTAATTGTAAGAAATGACTTGTTGAGAATATACATGGAATTATCATGAGTGCTAATATTACTCATAATAATGTCACCTTGAGCAATAATATCACGTACAAAGTGGTATCGAATATCAATGTGTTTTGTCCTCTCATAAAACATTTGATCATTTATAAAGAAAAAAGAGCACTTTGATTATCACAAAACACTATGTTGATTTGAAGCTCTTCACAATGTTCACCAAAGTTGATCAAATTGCTTCTTTATAAGCCTTAGTAAACGCCATATACTTAACTTCAGCAGTTGATAGAGCAATTGTATTTAACAAAGTGACTTTCCAACACAAATATCAAAATTGCTTCTTTCATAATCAAGAGAAGTCGTAAATGAATCAAACCTCTTGTACCGTTATTTAAGTGACTACTTTAGGACTTAAGAAGATTTCTTTAACAAGTAAACATGATCATCTTTTCTCGAGACAAGACCTTATGTTTATTGTATACAGATTTAAAAAATAACTTCAACTTCATATTCAAGATGGTTAGTTTGACTCTCATTATACTCGTATAAGTATGTGATGCCATGTAGGATTATCATGCCATATCAAGGAATTTACATTTAGTTGACTAACAGTTTCCATCCACGGAGAGATCATTTTGACCCAAACTAAAACATTGAGGGTTAATGTGTTCCAAGAGAAATATAGGTCAAAGTGACTATTTAGTCAAATGTTAAGGGTATTTTCTGACATTATATCTAATATAAAGATCCACTAGAAGTATAAGAAGATTATTTGGAGAGAAAAATCCTAGAAATAATAGTTGAGAGAAGGTGCCCAAAACTCAAAGTTCTTCCATTATATGGTGAAAAGGAAGAATAATAAGAATGTTATTAAGGTGTTATCCAATAAATATGGGAAAGGCTAGAGACTAATCAATGACTATCCGATGAAATCATCTTCGATTTTTTACTTGTTCCCTATATTAGTTTCTTGAATGAATTGCAGAAGGATACAATTACAAAGGAAGTTAAGGCAGATAAGAGCAAATAAATTATGAGAAATGAGGTACAAAGAAGCAATGTTTTCTATAAATGGAAAGAAAGCTCTAGAATTTGATGGTTTTACAACTTACCTTTTCCAAAAAGCTTGGGATATTGTAAGAGAAAATGTAATTGGTGTTATTATCTACTATTTTCATCCTTAAGAGTCTCTCTGTGTTTTAAATTCAACCAAAAACTTGACCTAACCAATACGAAGAATGTATAATGTCATATTGGGTCACTAAAGCATGTGACATTTTTTTTAAATCATTATTATGTCTATAATCATTTCCATAAATTTGACCAACTAAATTAAAATCATAAACTTATGAGTTTAAAAATGCTTAAACAAAACTATAGCTCTATTTAATAACTTCAAAATAAATTAAAATAGTGACAAATATTATAGATCGAAAAAGTAGTAAGGTCATATAAATATTGGGGACCAAATTACAAATATTTTTATTATTTGGGGTCATTCTGCAAACTCCAAATCATTTCAAGGACCTAACACCAATTTTACCCATCTATTCTAACCATAGAAATAAATGTGGCTAGGTGTTGAACCCATGACCTAAGGCATGGTCAACCCTACCTTTACAACTAGACTAGGTTACTATTTAAGTTTTAAACTAATAAATATGTTATTTGATCATTTATGTACCTTATTTATTTCCCAAACAAAACCCCTATCAGTCGAACCAAGTCCTCATCTACCGTTCCTCCCGTCCTTTACTCTCTAACTATCGGTGACGAACACCGCCACCACCGGTGTATGCAACATCGACTCGTGACCTAAACCCAATCAACCACACTCCGAGAAGCCCCGTCATTTGTCATACAAAGTCCCGCAAAGAATCGTCGGAGTTCAAGATATCTCCTTTTAATTTTCAATGTTTTCGATCAATCCCGGCTTCGGTTCACAACACAGCCACCTTCCATGTGCTCCCCGACGTTTTGTAAACAAACCGCAACCGATGATGTCCCTTCGTCGTTGCTCTGCTATTGTTACTGTTGGATAAGGGTTGATCATTTTAATTTTACAATCCGTTGTGCTTGGTCGTAAAATAACACATGCACGAGACTCCCGAGGTATCGATCTACAAGACTGGAAATTTTCACGCAAAATCAAAAAATGAAGCCGCCACATGCACCGCTCCCTGCATGTGGGTGTCATTTGTCAACCAGGGGAGTCTATTGACCGGCTGAACCGGTCTGGGCCGAACCAAGCCGAGCCACGCCAAGCCAAGCCCAGCCATTGGCCATGCGTTGACCATTGACCGACATTTGACTTTCTCTTAGAACATATATCATGATGTTTTTAATGTCCTGAATTATTTTTTGAGGTTTGTTTCACCAAATTCGAACCTAATAAGATGTTTTTCACTTATTGACCTCCCAAGTTGATAAGTTTTTCTCAATTAAGCTCCGTTTTTTTGTATTTTTGTTGATATGTATCCGAGATATTATTGGATGTTGGATTCAAGTTTGAGAGCGATCAAATAGAGTTTAAATGTTCGATCTATGTAGCTCAATAATCGAGGTAATACTTTACTATCCTATGCATTCTTTACAGTACATGTTGGTATTGCTAAATGCATGGATGAATATGGTTGGTCTCATATGTATAGTTAGTTATTTCTAAACTCGATCCAAATACGGTAAAAAGTAAGTAACTAAATAAAACTCTATTGGCTCGTATAAGAAATTAGAAGATTGATAAGGAACAATTCCAAGTTCCGTGATTAACCAGTGAAGCGTTTAACCTCATAACACTTAAATTCTGATTACTCTCATTAAAAAAAATTGAAACATCGAAAATACCTAAATAAGAAATTATGGAATTACCCTTGAGAGCTAAAAATATCTTGGATTGAACTCAATTGAGAAAATACCATAAGAGTTTGTTTTTAATTCGATAAATTACTGATTTAACTGTTAAGTTATTGTTTTCTTCAAAAAATTTCTAATTATCAGTTTGTAAGTTCTTAGAAGGCACTGACCCAAAATTTCTTATTTATGAACAAACACTCGAAGACTAACTTATCGAAAGTAAGTATTCTTATTGTCAGGATTGTTCAAAATTATTGAAACAATTAACAAGTTTGAATAAAATGAAAAAAATGGATTGAATGATAGGATTGAAATACCCTAAATGTTAAAATAACCAAAATAACCCTAAAATGATTGAAATACCCTTGTGTTTCAAAATGAATAAAATACCCTAGAGTCTTGAAATGACTAAATTAACATCAGGTATCGAAATGTAACACCCATATTCTATATACGATTACGTATATGAATACAAATGTCACATTACTTAAAATGCGGTATACTCGTTTTGAAAATCCTTTAAAATTTTGTTGCAAACTTAATTTCACATAATTATCATCATAAAATTGCAGGTTCATTAAAACATAATACAAAATACTTTTGTTATATTTGATTACATGCCAAATAGGTCCAAAAAGGAATATTAAAGTTCTAATGTTACTGGCGAGTCAACCTTAGTAGATGAGGTCTGCTACTACAACTTCACTCCTTATTGGATGATTATTTGTTGTTACCTACACGTGGAAGTACACATGATAAGTATATCTTAGTGAGTCATGATATAATAGATAATATTTGGTGTTCAAACATATTTTATTCCCCATTTAACAAAACCATTTGCCATAATTCTTTCTTTTCGTTTGCAATCTCCATATGTTTATAATACATCATTATACATTTTAAACTATAACATCTTTTCTGTTAATAATGCACCCATATGTATTTCAACTATTTTATACTTTTATGTTGATGATGTACCCATATACATCTCAACCATAGTATACTTTTCTGTTGAGAATGTACCCATATACATTTCAACTCTAGCATACTTTTCTGTTGAAAATACACCCATATGCATTTAAACTCTAGTATACTTTTCTGTTGATAATGCACCCATATGTATTTCAACTCTGGCATCCTTTCATGCCATTAATGCACCCATATGCATTATTCTTTTATGTTGACAATGTACCCATATACATTAC